ATTACAAAAGCGAGTGAAGCAAAAAAAAAGTAATAAAAAACCTGGTGGAGAAGCAGAAAAATAAAGAAGGAAAATTGCTGTTGGCATGAAAAGGATGTGTGTATAATGCATAGAACACGTACATAACCATCCACCTACATGGATGGCACATTATATATCGAGTTATATATATGTATATAAATATATATATGTACATATGTATGTATACCCAGTGCCCTGCACTTATCGGTGGCTTAATGCAATTGATAATGCGGTTACAGTATATTTTTTATCAGCGCCACTCCTTTTTCCGTTCCGTTTCGTGTCGCGTATGAAAACCAATTTCGTTTGAGTTAATTCCGAAATCGGTTTATGCCGCGGGATTATCCCTTTTTTTTTTTCTTTTTTTTTCTGCCAAGGTGAGGTCAGTGTGGCAAGCAGTTGAATTGCCACAAGGACGTAAAGCAGTGCAAGCAGATTAAACTGGGCGGTCTTGTGATTAACAATCGGCTTCAGCATCTACAATTAAAAAGGTTTTAAGCGAATTATGTCCATTCCTAGAAAGTAGGATATTTGGATACTTGCATTTTTTTTTGCGAGGTGTTCCAAAGTATTCTACGATATATTGGGCAAGTTCGAAGGATCAGTTAGAACGTCCATTGAATGCTAACCATTTTCTACCCACGAAACTCGTTGAGCTCGAAATCCATTTGATCTCAATCGAAAATTGGCATTGAGAAATGGCATTCCGCTGTTCACAAAAAATCCATAAGTATTGGTAGTAAGTGTTCAGTTATGTACATATATAATACTGTATCTATCTCGATTGAGTTCTCCATTAATCATGGCTGGAATTTACCACCTCCACCCATAAACCGTTCGGAAAATGCTAAGGAAAAACTACTACTGCAAAAAAGGGCAGCCGGGCAAAAAAGAAGTGGAAATTTCTCCGTGTATCTTGGAGTTGTTTTCCTCGCTGTGTTTGTCCCTGCCAAGCATTTATAAAAAGGAAATGGGGAAAATCTACAACCATGTGTGTGTGTGTGTGTGTGTGTGTGTGAACAAAAAAATTAATAATAAAAAGAGACAGCAAGGAAAAGCAGAAAAGCATTACACACACACACCTACACACACATGGATGACAGGTTCACATATAAATTCCGTACTCTCCTTTTTTAACATTCCGTTTTTTTTTTTTTGTTTGTTGTATGGAGAACTGTGTACCTTTCATTTAACTTGACATGAAAATCGATATTTAACAAAAAAAAAAAGGGATAAAATTGGTGAAAATAAAAAAGGAGCTCAGAGCGCAGAAAACATAAAAAACAGTAAAGTAAAAAATTACAGCTTAAAAAGTAGGAGAGAAACATGGGGCGCAAAATAAGAAAGAAAAATAAATGGGAAAAGACAGAAACTGAAAATAATAATAAAGAGCAGGGGGCGGAGTGGCGGAAAACTGCAAAAAAACAGAGGGGGTGTTGGGGTGGTCGTTTGGGGGGGGGGAAACGAAATGAAACGAGAAACGGTCGTTATGTTTTTCCTCAATTTTTTTTTTTACCCTGCCTTTTCTTTATTTTCCCTTCGTTCTGCCAGCTTTTTGTGTTTTTATTTATTTATTTTTTCTTCTCTTCAACGTCGCAGTCGCTGTAATGTCTTTTTTCATTTTTATTTTTCCGCTCGCAACCTTTTTGCGTCACCGCCCCCCTCTCCTGCTCCACTCCGAGCCCCCTCGCCCAGCCTGCACTGCTTACAAGCAGTGGAGGGGCAAAAAAAAAAATAAATAAAAACTAAAATAAAATACAAAAAGATGCAGCAAAACACACAAAACGAAAACCAAAGAAGAAGAAAAATGTGATAAAAACTGGAAAATATTTTCCATGAGAAAATCCAAAAGAAAAGGGGTCTCTGTGTGTGTGTGTGTGCGACTGCTTGGCGGGAAAATATACTACAATAAAACATGTATTTTTTATGCCAAGCCGCCCACACACCCGCCCCTTTTCAGGAGTGTGTGTATGTGTGTGTGTGCTCGTTTCTGTGTTGGTTGTAGCTGTTTTTATTTTAAGGAACTTAAATGTGTAACGCTTCCAGCGTGTGGGTGTGTGTGTGGGGTGGCAAAGATTGGGATCAAAAACCCTTTGCAGTTAACTTTTGTCTGTGTGTGGGTGTGGGTGTGGGGTTGGGGGTTGGGTGTGCGAGTGGGTGGGGCGGACTTTCTATTATTGTGAGTGAGCCAAGTCGGAAAACCGAAACAGAAACAGAAACCAAACTCAAATCCGAATCCTTGTGTGCCGGACATTGCGTTTTTTAATGCCACTATATTTTGTACAGTGGAACATCTGTATGTTGGAGCTGGCAAAAAAAAAACAAGTTAAGCAGTTTGCTAAATTGTATAAATTGTGTAATATCATATTTAAAGGTGTCTAAAAGTATGCAACAACATCTATGAAAACCGAAATACCGGTGGTTTTATTTCGAAGGACATAGTTATAATACCCACTGCATACTTTTGGGATACACCCATTTAAGTAATCCTGAAACTCTTGGGATTTCTGTGACATTGCCATAAGAAAATACACATGTCTATTGATATGAACATTTAATATGACGATGTTTTAGTATATAGAGCTAGTTGGCCCGCTGGTTTCTGAATTTGGGAGCTGGCAAACGAAATGTTTGGTTGGTTGCTTTCGATTAAATACAGTTTGCCTGTATTTTATATATCAATCAAACATAGCAGCACAAAAAAAACCGGTACATATGGCATTCTTTTATATACTAGCCAAAGAAGTCCTTTCTTCGGGGTTTTTTCTACCCAATTTCGTTCGGTTTCTTTTTTGTGCAATTTATTTGCCAGCTTTCTGCTGCTGATGTTTTTTTGCAGCTTGTTCGGTTTTTCAACTTTCCATTGGCATTTCTTGCAGCTGAAAAAAGGTGAAGCGAAATTTGCTTTCGCATTCTGTTCGCGAGCTTCTTTCTTTCTTCACCAGCGTTTTTCTACAGTTGCCCATTCTTTTTCTCCGACGAATTTTGACCCATGCTGGAAGTGCTTCTTCTGCTTCCCCACTGCCCAAGTAAGTTTGTGTGAGTGCGGGTCCTTTTTTCCCTTTTCCCTTTTACATATACATATGTATATATATTATATAGATATTGTGTGTGTGGTCCATTTTGTACACTGGACATAAAACGCAGCTAACATAAACTTCTTAACCACCACCATTATCCTACCCTTTTTTTCGACTGTCCTTCCCTTGTGCTATTAGTACTAAAAGCAGGAATGCGTTTAACCAAAAAAAAAATACAAAGTTTAAAAGATAAAAAATCCAAACAAAATTTTTTTTGGCAGATATAAAAAAAGGGTAACAAAATTGTTGGGGGGAATTCTTAAAATTTATCACCGTACCAGGAAAAGGGCTACAAAAAAGCTGGGCGATTTCACCCGGTATATGACAACATCTTTATCATCCTTTTATAGACATACATACACACATGTATGTACATTATGTATACAAGTGAACAAATAGTTTTGAATTTGATAAGTCAGAGGACTAGCTATAACATTTCATGCTAGATCACTCGGACGAACCACTTTCTACTTGACTAGTTTATTAAATTCCTGGACTTTTGAAACGGAAATGCTTGGTGAGGAGTTGAGTTCTCCTGGATTGTAGCATTATCTTTACCGCGAGAATCAATTTATTTTTCTGTTTCGTCACATCGATGCGATTTTACAATTACGATGAATCTGTGGAAATCGACAACAAAAGGGATTTTATAATTGCTCTTTTCATTTTTTGCGTACTTTGTGTTTAAGTTTATTGACAGATTGGTTGCTGCGGGCGGAAAATTGTGTTTTTATTAAGCGACAACTCATTTCATATACATGCACCCGAAATACCATGTATTTATGGATATTTTTTTGTACATATGGGGTATGTATTACATAAGTGCATGTATGTATGCATATGTAAATATGTATTTGGCGGGGAGCAACGAAATAAACAGAAAGTTAAGTTTTACCTTGCGCAAAATATTTGCGCTGGATGAAAGTGTGCACAGTGCGAAAAAATAAAAATTATGAACATTTTTAATGTGTATAGAGATGAGTGTGGGTGGGAGGGAGAGGGATAATAATAAAATGAAAACGAGGACGACGAACATTTTTATGGTGCTGCAGTCTAAAAGGAAAAAAAAAACTACCGTCCTTTCGACCACAACTCCTGAAACCCCCCACCTCCATCACCCCGCCTGGAAATTTCCCCCATCCACCGAAGTCATTGGCGCTTCTTTGTTGCCAGGGAAATGGAGCTGGAAAAAACATCTCGGTATTCGATGACTGGCAGGACTCTGGTTTCTTTTTTATTTCATTTCCTGCTTTTTATTTCCCCCCCCTTTTTTTTTTTTTTTTTTTTTTACCGATCCCGACTTTAGCCTCGCATAAAGCGGGAATTTCGATTATTTATTTGGCTGAAAAAATTGCGATGAATTTAATACGAAAAATACTTTGAAAAAACACGGGCCAGCAAGAAGAGGCAAAGAAATAAACAAAAAAAAAAAAAAACAAGAAAAAGAAAAAGAGCAGCAAACCCTTTCATTAAACAGCAAACAGTAAAAACTGCAAGCACCCCGATTGACATTTACACACCGACGCACTGTGAAAAGGATTCATAGGGATAACAAGTTCATCGGCGGATATAGTGCTGCTGGCAGGACAAAAAGCGAAAAACGCTTCAATATCAGGTTCAGGTTCAGATGTGCGGAAAAACGTTACGCATTATGCGCGTAAGAAATGTCAATTTCGGATTTGGCGCTGGGGCGGAGTAAATGGTTTTTATTTATTATTAATAATATGGCAAATAGTTCGCTTAACTATTAATCATGAGTGTTTTTTGCGCAAGCAAAATTCGCCTTTGAGCGCATTTACTACTAACAAAGTGCAATTTATCCATCGAAACGTTTTTGTAGCATACTTATAGGTGGTTTTGAAACATCCTTACTTACCATTGGGATCACTCCATTTTCAGACTGCCAACTGGCCAAGGGGGCAGCTCTTCCGAAGAATTACCAGAACCAGCTGCACCACCAGAGGCACCACCATCAGGGGCAGCAGCAGGCGCGGCACCACCATGCTGCCGCAGCAATACTGCCTGAGGTGGAAGTACCACCATAGCAATCTGCAGACCATGTTCTCCCAGCTGCTGGATCGCGGATGCTTCTGCGACGTGACCCTGGCCTGCGAGGGCCAACTCATCCGTGCCCATCGCGTCGTCCTGTGCGCCTGCAGCACCTTCTTCGATGCCGTGCTCTCCAATTATGCCAGCGAACGTGATCCGATCATCATCATGAAGGACGTCACCTTTGCGGAGGTCAAGTGCCTCATCGAGTTCATGTACAAGGGCGAGATCAATGTGGAGCATGTGAGTGCCTACCTGACTATCTGTAAACTCATAAAATATCCCTTAACTGACGCACTTGCGCAGGCCAGCCTACCTTCGCTGCTGAAGACCGCGGATGACCTGAAGATCAAGGGCCTGGCCGAGGTGACCTGGCGCGATGATGAGGACGGACCGCCGCCACCGATGGCCGCCGCCGAGTTTCACTCACCGCCGCGCAGTTTGGCAGAGAGCTACGCCCAGGACCTAATCCTTCAGCACCAGCAACAGCAGCAGCAGCAGCAGCCCCCAGCTGCTCCACCCTTGCATCTGCACAGCTCCGCGCTCATGGACAGAGATCGAGAACGGGAGCGGGAACGTGAACGTGACCGGGAGCGTCTGTCGCCGGGCATGGAGAGTGTGCTGGGTCGCATGCCGGTGATGACGCCGCTGCCGGGCGCTTCGGGCTCGGCAGGAGTGGGTGCGGTATCCGGTGGCACGTCCCTCGAGGGCGTAGCACCCGTGGAGCACTTTCTGGGCCCCAAACGCAAGCGTGGTCGTCCGCCACTAGACGATGCCTACGATGTTTTCAATGTGTAAGTAATATCAGCTAAATATTTGCAATATTCACGTATAAAACGAACTTTTCAAATCGAAACTTTCCTTTTACGGCACAGACGCAAGCTGGCCCAGTATGCCGCCAATCTGGAGCCTGCCCAGCGTGCCTACTTGGAGACGGCGCGTCACTTTGCAGAGGAGCCGCCACTGGCCGCCCATGCCGCCTCGATGCCCTCCCCGCCCGCCGCCTGCCCGCCCAAACAGCGCCAGCGTCTACGTCACCAGCAGCAGCAGCAGCAGCAGCAACAACAGCAGCAACAGCTGCTCCAGTCGGAAACCGGTGACCAGGAGCCGCCAGTAGCTGGCCAGGATTGGTCCAATGTGGAGCCAAATGGCAGTGCCACGCCCAGCGATGCCGATGCTAACAAACAGGAAACGGAGGGCGGCGATGAATCGCTACCGGCAGTGCTCACCACCGCCAGCAGCAGTGGCATCAAAAAGTTGGAGAAGATTGGCGAGCGGCGCGAACGCCATGGCAAACTACGTCATGCTCGTCGCCTCTATGAGAAGTCCGGAGAGGATGAAGTTGAGCAGCCCAAGGAGGAGCCCGCTGAGCTGCCGCAGCCGCTGGAGGAGATCGAGAACGAGCATCTGGTGGCGAATAGGGCAGAGTCGCCGCGTCCTACGGTCGTCATACCGGCGAGTTTTGCCTGCAAATACGAGGGTGGCGTGGCTGCCGGAGGCAGTGGCACCGGTTCCGGCTCTGGCTCCGGATCCGGATCAGCTGGATCCTCCTACTTGATCAACGAACACGGCATGCTGATGGCCCACGAATTTGCACCGAATGTGGCCAGTGCCGCCGCCACTGCAGCTGTGGCCGTCGCAGCAGCCGCCGCCGCAGTGGCAAATGCCTCAGCCGGTAGCGGAAATGGAAATGGTGGACAGGATGCAAGTGGCAGTGGAACCGGCGCCGCCGCCGACTATCCCGACATCAAGCTGGAGGACTACGATGCCGCCGAACTGCGACTGACCAACGAGGAGCTCTCGCAGTGGCAGGACGTCATCAAGATGGACGACTATCTGGCCAAGGGGCGGCGTCCACAGTTCTGGGAGGAGCCATTCACCAAGCGTGTAAGCCCACCGCCGATCATATTTTGCTACCTTCGATGTTTTATCAGCCACAAATGTTTAAAATATTGAATAGTAAATATTGCAATTGATATTGGCCAGGCAAATGTAGTGCTTAAATACTGAACCATAAAAACCAGCTAAAAAGGTTGCACTTTTTCTGGTTTTTAAGCTTAGTTTTTGCATGTTGTTTTTTGTACTTTGTTTTAATGCCAAACTGCAAGTTTAGTAAGCCTCTATGAATAGCGCTAATTAAACTAATTGCTTAGGTGTGACATTATCAGCATTAAATAACTGAAAAAACTTTGCAAATGTAATGATGGTTACGGAGGAGAGTTCCAATGTGTGCATTTCTAACTCAATGTTTTGGAATCTTTCAGGTGCTGGACGCCATTAAAAACAAAAGACTCGAGATGAAGAAGGCCGCCAGAATTCTGGGCGTTTCCTATGGCACTCTGTATGGGCGTTACCGCGAGGTCTATGGCTGCCTAAAGCATCCTTACAGGTGCGTTGGAGTGCTGAGAGTTACTGTAGCTCGATATTAAACTTTGATTTTATACCGATTTAGTGGCACAGCCTTCCGAAACTCCGGATCCAGCTCGACAAGTCAGATGGGAGTTCAGCCGCGTTTCGATTTGGGATTTCGCAACGGGGGCGGCATTCCAGCTCAGCTGGGTAAGTTGGATCTACGAATGTGCCAGCAAATAACCAACTTACTGGGGGAATTAAGTCCAAACCAATCCCTACTTGCAGAGCTGGGCAAGCTGAAGAAGGATCTGAGCGATCTATGGACACGTCCGCAGATTTGAGGACCATCCAATGCCACAACCACGAAGAAACCGCAGAAAAGTCACAAACGACGCCACAGGCTGATCTAGGATCACTTAAGGATAAAAGACAGCTAGACGAGGCTAGTTTTGGATGCCGAGTAATGCTTTCCTGAATCGATTCCCACATTAATGTGTTGTGCCCATCGAGGGGTCGAGTCGGGTCGGGTCACAACTCCAACTGATCTTCTACACATTTAGGATCTTATTATTACCTAATATATAATATAAATACATGTCTATATATACGCGTCGATTAGTTAATTGAAATACGTATAAAAACGCACGGGCACGTGTTGTTGTAGAGGTAAATACATTTCTCTTGGTAGTGAAATTCAAAACCATAAACTATGGAACTCTAGTTAATCGATAAATGAACACAGAAGTGAAGTGAATTTTTTGATAAGCTAACGAAAGCGAACACAAACAATATGTATTACATACAAATGATATATGTTTAAAACAAATAAAGTAATAACAATTAAAATATGTTTAAAACGAAATCAAGTCATTCCTCTACTGCTCTTTAAATTCAAATTGTGGCGCCGACATAGGTGGCCATCGATACCGATAACTGCCCGATTACCGCCACCCCATGGTCACACTGATAACACCGACACTTTCTTTTTACGTCGAACATTTTCAAGCGGAAGTCAAAAATTGCTCCTTGAATTTTGTTCATTTTCTTAGTTTTAAATCTCCAAATGCTGCTGAAATCGGTGACTGTGAGTGGGGTGGACCACGTGTTCGCCTGCAGTGAGGGAGAGCATGACGAAACCCTGACTATCCACGTCCTCCAACCCGGCCAGAACTTGAGCTACTCCGAGACATTGCAAAAATACGATTACCAGCAGCGTTTGAAAGTAAGTTTCCACACTTTCCCGTGGTGAAATAGTGCGAGACCATTCATTCACGCTTTCTCAAATAGACGCTCAACGCACGCGTAAAGTTTCCGGAGGCATCGGTGCGTCTGATCCTGGTCAACGAGGATCCATTGATTGCCGAAGAGCAACCGGAGCACCCATTCATGATCTGGAAGATGAAGTATTTCATGGGCAGTTCTGTTGCATCCCTCAAGTGGGAATGGCACATGATTCCCACGGATGGCGTGCATGTGAGCAACTGATTAGTGCAGACGCAGTTTGAAGCAGAACTATAATGATTGGTGTACCCATTGGGTGCCCACTATTTTCACAGTTTTATAACCAAATTTGCATGCATTCAATGTCCACGGCTTCGGGACTACGGGATCAGGTATCCCTTCTGCTGGGGATTCTCAAAGCCAAGGACAAGGAGCTGAAACAGTATCGCATCGAGGGATGCCAGCTGCGCAGAGGTTAGTTCACTTGTTTACTTGTTTATTCCTCAAGTTTGGTTAATAATCGCCAAAACCCTTTGCCTTCTTCAGCGACCGCAGTGACCCAACCCTTTGATCTCAAGAGTTTTATGATCGAGCACAAGAAAGTGCTGGACTGCGCCGCTGCCTTCGAGAAGGCGCATGGTATTTTTGCGGATGATGAGCCAACGGGCAGTTTGTCAGTGCTTTCACCAAGTGGGCAGAATGCGAAACCGAAGACTCTGTCAAGCGGCTACTCAGCTTCGTCGGAGACATCGAGCCCAAGAGTGACTCCTCGCATTAGGTGAGATCGCTTCTACGTGTACACATTTACAGAATAATAAGATATGTTTTCGCTATGTGTGTTGCAGGAAGCGCAAGGCTCTTAAAATCAGTACCAATCATATGGTGCGCAAGGTGATGCAGCGCCGCTCCAATCCGCAAATCGAGTACAGAAGCTCGCAGAGTTCCCAGGAGACACTCGTGGATGACTATTTCACAGAGATAGTGCCAATAGTCAAGAAAAGGGCTGTGGATAATGACGAAGAGCCATCCACATCGTCTGGACTTCTCCGAGGAGGGTCGGCGAACGTAACCGAAGTAAATGCAACCATCGGGAATGGTTTAACTAACTCTGATCTTGCATTTCTGGAAGAGTATGCTTCTTCCTTCCCTGCAGAGGGAGCTAATTATGAGGAGGAAACTATGGAGGCTGAATCCATTCAAGAATTATACGATTATACAATTATACAGGCGCCCATTCAAAAACCTGAAATCCACGAATATCCCGTGGCTTCCGAGGAGGAATCGACTGTTCGTAATCGAAGTGAGCTGGATGAGATCAGAACCCTGCTCATTCACTCAACTGATCTCATTCAAAAACTTATTCACAAGAATAGTGATGAATCCGACAGAAACAATTAGAAATTGATCTCACTCTAAATGGTGCTACAAGCAAAACTTTAGCTTTAGTACATAATTTTTTACCTTACATTTATTTTTTTTTTGTGATAAAAACAAGTCCTCAGTGATAAAAGGATAAAAGACAAGATGCCATGTGTTGATTAGGTATTCCTACCTAAGCACATTGGCAATCACCACAATGAAACAAAACACTAGATGTGTAGTGTGTGTTGCATATTTTAATAAGTTGTATTACCAAAGTACCGCCAGTACACAGACCAGTTGAGTTGCACTGCATAGAAGGAACTCCTATCTTTATCGACTATGTGCCTGTTTATTGCCTGGGAATTTCGTGTTCACTTATCATGCGATTAGTCACGGCTTTCCAATGGAAATAACCAATAACCAAAAACCTCCTGAAGAATGCATTTCATGTTACATGTTTCTGTTTATATACATATATATTTTTTTTTGGCACGATGACTAATAAAATTAATGGAGAAACACTCACTGTACAATTGGAATTAGTGTGAATACCCTTTAAATTTTGTCTAATCCCAGCCAGCTACACCTACCATGGTGTTCTGGCGTTACCAAATCCATTGACTCCAGTGCCATTGAAATCAAAATCGAATTTTGCACTGATTTGCCATTTGTTTACTTTTATGGCACCCGATCGAGCCATCGAGTTGTTGTCAATGCGGAGCTTTGGGGCTTTGGCAACATTCAATTTACGCACATTTAGCGATAAGATAAGCCGTAGGCAAGCACAAATAATATCAACTGGCCATGGGTCTGATGGCTCATTGCGGTGGTTCTATTCAAGAAATTCGGTCGATAGTGGCAGCCACCTGTACAATTTCGAACTCCCATACTGCCAAGTGTCCAGGAGATGGCTAAAATCTGGGCCATATCGCTACTCCTAGGAGTTCTGGCCCCCGGCGCAAGTGAGTCGCAGATTGATTGCTATCAATCCAAAAATTCAGCTGAATGGTGTATATAGTATAGCTTTTAGTTACATCAACAGTACTATTAAGGCATTTATTAGTGTTCGTTCGGTTGAAAGTGGTGCGAAAATGGAATTGTTAAAGTTTGGAAAACCCCAACAAGTTATTGCTTTTTGTTTTGATGAATTTTTCTTCAAAAGTGTTTGGTTAATAACCAAGATAAGAAATATAGCATTTACCAATGTGTAGGCCAAGTTCGGCTGCTTGGGCTCCTACAAAAAGTTAAGTTTGGATATAAGCATTATAAATATCCCATAATGGTATGGTTATGGTAATCAGCCTCTGAGTGAAAGGCAGTTCTGAATACTTCCATGTCTGAGTTGCCAACCCTTTGTCTGTATTATCCAATTTAGCAAGGAGTGGCAATCACTAACGTTCGATTAGATTGTCTTGTCTTTCCATTCCACCGCAGAGTTGTAAACCGCTCACCATTAAATTTTAAAGTACTTTCTTGTTAAGACAACAATTGCAGCTATCTCCTTGCCGAAGATAGACGTATTTAATATGATAGTTGCCTTCACACTGCGTGTGGAAGGTTAATCAAGTGTCGATGGATGTTTATCACGCCCATGACCGATATTTAATCATACATTAAGTACCTGTTTATTACCATTTCAGGTGTTGGAAGTGAAGCAGCTGGAAAGATAGAGCCCAAGATAGTGGGCGGCTATGAAACGTCCATAGAACAGGTGCCGTACCAGGTGTCCATTCGCCTCACCGCCAACGAGAGGAAGAGCTATGGATCCGGTCACCTGTGCGGCGGAGTGGTCATTTCCCAGCGTTTGGTGGTCACCGCCGCCCACTGCTGCTACATGTGGGTGCATATCCTAATCTCTGCTCGTACAAACCAATATTCTAATTGATTTCGACTTCCAGCACCGACAAGAAGAAGTACCGAACTGCTGGTGAATTCGTCCTGGTCATGGGCAGCACCTACCTGACCAGCTCCACCGATCGCACTTTGACGTACTACCTGCAGCAGCTGATCCTGCACGAGCATTACAAGCCGGACGTGTTGACCAACGACATTGCCCTGATGTTCATCAATGGCTATATACCCTGGAACTGGCCGACGGTAAAGGCCCTGGCATTGAACAGCCAACTCGTGGCCACAAGCACCGACTGCCTGATCTCCGGATGGGGTCTGCTCCGGCAGGTGAGTTTCCCACTGCCAGATGGCTAGTTCTATTCACTGATGTCACCATCTCTACTAACTTTCAGGGCGCAACGTTTAGCAGTAATACTCTGCAGGCCGCCACGGTGCCCATTATGTCCTATACCACCTGCCGCCTGGCGTACAATTCGGTGCCGCTTTCCCAGGTGTGCGCCGGCTTTTGGAGTGGAGGAGTGGACGCCTGCCAGGGCGACTCCGGCGGACCCATGAGCTGCAACGGAAACTTGGCTGGCATCGTTTCCTACGGTGCTGGATGCGCAGCACCTGGTTATCCGGGCGTCTACACCAATGTGTCGTACTATAACGATTGGATTGTCGCGCAGAACAACTCCCTGAACTATACGCTCTATCATAACGAAGGAGTGCGGCAGGCATCGGGTTGGTGCTACTGCCTGGGGATTCTGCCACTCATTGTGGCCTTCCTCCTGGAACGCTGAATCTAGTCTGTGCATTTAGTGAAAAACTAGATTTTAAACTAAGTTAAAGTGCAATTAATTTATTAAATTAGTTCAAAAATGTTATATATTTGACACCTGGTAATTTTGTATCATTACAATAACATGCCAAACTTCAGTGGACTGTCAGTTTTTAGAAATTCTGAACTTTTTGTCGTCTTTCTGGTCGAGTTCGTTTCGTGTGTGTATGTGTGGAACTTCTGCGCACCCCATGGACCACCTATGGATGTGCCTGCTGATTCTGGCGACCCACCCCGGAATCACCCAGTCCCAGGTTGGCCCACCGACGGCCACAGCCTCGCCCTTTGTGATCCTGCCGAAGATCGTGGGCGGCTACACGGTGACCATTGACCAGGTGCCCTTCCAGGTGTCCGTGCGCCGGCGATCGATCCACGAGCGGCACTACGGCATGGGTCACGTCTGCGGCGGAGCGGTCATCTCTCAGCGGGTCGTCTGTTCGGCGGCACATTGCTACGCCATGTGGGTGAAATATAAGTGGCTGATATCCATGAGCTGTGTACAAAGCGATCTCCTTTTTTTAGAAATACCTCAGTGCCACTGGCCTATCGTGATCCCGAGCTGTATGTGGTGGTGGCTGGCAGCAGCGCCATCGATCGGACGGACCGCTTCACCCAGGAGTACCTGGTGCAGCGCATCATTGGCCACAAGGGCTACAATGGCAGCACGCTGGAGAACGATATCGCCCTGCTCTTTCTCAACGGATTCATACCTTGGGAATCGCAGGGGGTGCGGGCCATACCGCTGGCCATAAAAGCACCCGAAGAGGGCACCACCTGCCTTATCCACGGGTGGGGCAAGGTCACCATGGTGAGTCCTCCCATTCCCATCGTTTCGTTGTCCGCTCAAGAGAGCGTCCGTTAAGCCGCAGCGAATTGTTGTCCGCTAATAGATCATGTTCGTTGCTCTCGATTCAGAAGGACAAGTCGGCATCGCTGCAGCAGGCGCCTGTACCGATCCTCAACAAGGAGCTCTGCCAGGTGATCTACAAGCTGCCCGCCTCCCAGATGTGCGCCGGATTCCTGCAGGGCGGCATCGATGCCTGCCAGGGCGACTCCGGCGGACCGCTGATCTGCGACGGCCATCTGGCCGGGATTATATCATGGGGCGTCGGCTGTGCGGATCCCGGCTATCCGGGTGTCTATACCAACGTGTCGCACTTTCTGAAATGGATCCACAGGACCAACGCTTCGCTGGACTACTCCGAGTACAAGCAAATGCCCCCGCTGAATCTGGCCAGCCGTAGATCTGTATCTTCCGGTTTCTTTTGGGCATTGGTGTTCTGGCGCTTATCGTGAGCCTTCTTCTGTGTCGATGGGTGCTGTCCCACCAATAAATCGCTTGCTCTTCGCTGTTCTACAACTGATGTATCTAATCGTGGCGAGCGGGCAACCACTTGTAGATTGTCCAATAGTTGACGCTGATCGACGGCATTGATGACATCAGAGAGACATCAGAGGGGTTCAGGTTCAGGTTACAGGGTAGCATTTTGCGAGCGTATCTATTTGTCCTTTGCCAATGCCATCATGTGGCCAATAAATTGAGCAATCCCTTTTTTCAATAGTTTATGTTATATAGTTTTTATGGTAACGGAAATAGACTTTTATAAGGCCATTAATTGATGACCTAGATTAATGAATGAGTAACTTTTGGCTGGTACGTTTCTCAGTTTTTGAGCTTTAAATTGCTTATTCAACAAGTAACCAGAAGTTGTTGTGAATAGTCAATGTTGTTTGCACATGACGCCACGAGTTCATGTAATAGCTTAATTAAAAAGTACACTGGGCTCTAATTTTTCATTTAAGATCGAAGATATACGGGGTCTGATTTAAGACTAATTTGGAAATTGGCTGACAAACAATGGGGGAGTTATTGTCTGATATAAAAGACCGTTGAATCACGAATGAAAGAAGCAATTGCCAGGAATATCGAAAGATATGGAATCATGGCAAAGGTCGCCATCATTTACATTTGGGCACATTTCTTCGGAATATCCCCGGAGTACTAGCATTTCTTCAAGGGTCCCATAAATCAGTGTGGTAAACCCAAAGATTGGGAAATCCAGCGGTGGCACTTAAGACCAAAGACTGCAGTTAGTCAGACGTGGACGGAGGTCTTCGGTTCTCCGGCGATGACAAGTCAGTCCGGTGTTTTTTGTGGTGTTCTATTGATTGTACGATGTCTATTGATTAGATTAGGATGCCAGATTTTTATTTTGGCAGCGATATTGGACAACTGGGCTCGGCTCCTTCATTAGTTGGCAGCGCCACGTCGACGAGTTAGCATCTAGACTGCCGGAATGATCGGATTGGGACAACTTTTGGCGTTAGCCCTGCTACTCGCTTCCATGCCAGCGGGCCTGCGAGGTTTGTGGGAGTTTTCTGGGAAATCCTGGAATATTTATAAAGTGAAAAACTGAAATTACCTCAGGTGCTGCGACACGAACACCCTTGGACACAAAGGCCATTCGTCCGAGATTCAGTGTAGATCCCGGCAGGATTATCAATGGAACGGAGGCCTCACTGGGGGCCACGAGGCACCAGGTGAGCATTCGCAAGGCTCTCAACGATGGCTACTTCTTTGGCACTGGTCACCTCTGTGGAGGATCACTCATCCGGCCGGGATGGGTGCTCACCGCCGCCCATTGCTTTGTGGAGTAAGTGCGTCCAGGGATGATGAAGCCATTCCTAAAGTTTTGTGTTACCTTTTGGGAATCTGCAAGAAAAGTGCCAAGTAATGTAATTCTTAAGCAAACGGGTCACGCGAAATGAAGGAGGTGCAGTAGTTTAAAGTGCAAGTTATGTTGCTTTAGGGGTCACCCCATAGCTCAGAAACTATTCGTTCTTATCACATGTTTCGTTACCAGTCAGGTTATTTACGACGGCACCTTCGTGCCCGAGGAGGAGTTCATCGTGGTGATGGGCAACCTGGATCGCTACAATCGCACCAACACGCTGACTTTCACGATCGAAGAGCGCATAATGCAGCTGGATAAGTTCGTCATGTCCACCTACGACAAGGACATCGCCCTGCTGAAGCTGAACGGCACTGTGCCCACTGGACATCCGACCATTCGTCCGATTGCCCTCAGCCGGTTTGCCATACCGGAGGGCGTCGTCTGCCAGGTGACGGGATGGGGCGAGCGGGAGGATGGCTATATCTCCGATATCCTGATGACCGTCGATGTGCCGATGATCAGCGAGGAGCAGTGCATGAACGACAGTGACCTGGGCCACCTGATTAAGCCGGGAATGATATGTGCCGGTTATCTGGAGGTGGGCGAGAAGGATGCCTGCTCGGGCGATTCCGGCGGACCACTGGTGTGCCAAAGTGAGTTGGCCGGCTTGGTGTCCTGGGGCATTCAATGCGCCCTGCCCAGATTACCAGGTGTGTACACGGAGGTGTCCTACTACTACGACTGGATCCTACAGAATGTGGGCGAGGATGAGGATGCGAGTGGTGACGGAAGTGGCGACAGCGGAAGTGGCGATGGCAATGGCGAAGATGAAGGAAGTGGCAGCAGCGGAAGTGGCGATGGCGAAGATGGAAGTGGCGATGGCGATGGTGGTGGTGCCGTGGCCGCCATGGCCGGAACTCTGACCATTCTTCTGCCCGGTGTTCTCGCTCTGAGGCAAATGGCTGCGCAGCTCTGAAAATATTTTAATAAAACTATTTAACCTAAGGTTTGCACATGCCTTTTCTTAAATGATGTGTAAAAATGAAGTTAGTATTTAAACGCAACGACGGGTTTTCCAAACTTTCTACGTCCATTTTGTGTCTCTTGATACTTGATAAATAGGCCTGAAATAGGTTGTATGCCTTTACTTTACATACTGCCTACCCAAAAGCTTGTTTTTATAGAGCGGAGGTATCGGATATTCTAACCACTCCTTGCACAACACTATAGCCTACTTCCAGGCGGTTTTCAGCAGTTTATAACCCCAACCCGAGTTCGGCATACAAAACTTATAATGCCCAATCGCTCAGTTATCAGCCAATTTGTTATTCGTTAACTAAAAATAGTTTACGGCGCAGAAAAGAAACTTGATTTCACTAGTTCGATGAATGGAAGTGACCACCCGATATCGTTAATCTTTATGCCACCAGACGGTCAGGGACTCGAGGAATGGAGTGCGTGACTGCAGGTGGATCTGGCGATCAAGCGATCTGGCTCTTAAGACCTGCAGACAAGGTCAATAGTCCAGTTGCATTGGGCAAGTGATAACTATAAATGGTATCACTATAGAACTCTATCTGTCGCTGCGATCAGGATCGAAGTACTTACATAGCTCAATCGAAGTGTTACAGCACTATAAATCTTTGCAATCGGGTAATACCAACTGGTATTGATCCTTATCGGCCACGTTTTGCCTTGTAATCTGCTTTCCGTTTTAGTTCGGTTCAAGATGGCTATATACACTTGGTTCTCGAGAAGAAGCGGTTGTTTCCGCCACGCTTTTCAGAAGAGGTGCTTCTAAGTAGAAAATTACAAGGAATTTGGGTTTGATTCACCACGTATCTCCTTGTTAGAGTGATACAGAAAGGTACTAGAAAAGTACTAGTAAGCCACATCCTACAAAGATCAAGTCCGAAGAATTCTACATTTTTCCTGATTCTTCTAATAAAAACAACGTTACCGCAGAATACCTCGTAATCAACACCAAATAGTGTTCCTGAAACAAATTTTTACCTCTAAAAGTTCAGCACAGTAGAATCAAGCCGATAAAAACCTATACGCACCGTAATCCTGACTTTGCAGCATAAACGAACTCAGCAGAATACACGTGTGAATAAAAATAATAACCAAAATAATTGTGATTACCGGCACTGCGTTCTTATCGATTCCAAGGGAGTGTGAGTGTTTGTTTATTATTCGTTTCGTTTCGATTCGATTCAATTCGATTCGATTCGGCTTTATAGCAGTATTGGTGCATGGGTCGTATGTTGCTATTGCTTTATCGCCCGACATCGATCGCGAAAACAACAACAATCGGGAGTCACGAAACCAAAACAAAAATTATGGAATTATCTAAGAACGCCTTGCGAATTTGCGTTTGTTCGATTTAGGAAGAAGCTCGCGCTAAAATTTCTTCATTCAACGCTCGGAGCTCTCGACAGGTGAATCGTAGGACGCTCCACCGGGAAAAAAACTTTCACCTTCAATAAGGATCAGCTTTTTTTTCAATATTTTTTCTTGTGAATTTTGTGTTGTGGACAAGTTTCTTCGAAATGCAGTTGAACGATCATTGGCGAAAGATCGTGAAGACGTTGATCTTCGCATTTCTATGCACTGAAATGCAAACGAGTAAGTAAATTAGATGATACTTGGTGGATTCGGGATATTTCTGCTGTCATGCAATATTTTAATAAAAAAAAGTCTTATCCAAAATCGGTTTACTCTCCATTTTGCTGAAAATGCAGTTCTGTATGGCCTGTACATAAATTCCAACAAAAAACTCAAGATGTATTTTCTGAATATTACTAAACATTCACTTATAATAATAAGTGAATATGCCAGTAATATGCCAGTTAGGTTTCCAATGGGTACTTGAGCAGTTATAACGTGCAAACTGATAAGGGGAACTTTAAAAGAAATTGCAAGTAAGCAAATGCAATGGTTATAAGTATCTTATAGATTGCGCATAGCAGCGCTTGAGATGAACAGGGGATTATATCATGGGTTTCTAAACATCCGAATTGATTTAAAGGCCTTTATAGAGTTGGATTGAGACTTTCATAGCTCACTGTATGTTTTGCTATTAAACAAGCATGCCAAACATTTGTTTTGATGACCCCAAGGATCAACAGATTACCGAAATGAATCTAAATATACATTTTTAGTAGTCGTGATTACACTTAAACGTGACCCATTATGCTTGCGAATTTAGATTCTTATCCTAAGTAAATTTATGAACCTAAATTTGATCGTAGAACAGCAATATATATCCACTGTATTTTGGCGTAATCTCACGATTATCCAAATCGCCGCCCGCTTCAGTGCGTCACTTTAAATTGAGCAATTGGCGATCCATCATCGCGTGATCGCGTCAAACTTCCGGGCTAATTGGGTTGGGTGGGTTTAGTTCGATTCGATTGGGTTTGGCTTAGTGGGCCCGTGGCCGGGTCTAAAGATACCATACTATCATATCTGTGATCACGCCGGGAATGCGAGCGGTGGCCTGATCGGGTCGAATCCGGGACTTGTGCACTGGCAGGCAACTGATATCAGGGAGCGATCGGGGCGCTGACCAGGCGTCGATTGCTGATAGGCGGTGGGTGATAATGCGAACTGCACTCGGAGATTGTTTCCATGGGGGAATCGGATCCGATCGGATCTCGATTGGCGGGCTTATCGGCCCTGCTGCTTAACCTTCACCTCGGCTCTTTATACTATTAACCTTCTCCTCTATCCGCAGCATACACCCATCGCGATTTGGCCGCCAAACGTGGTATTAGCCTGGCCGAAATGGATGCCATTGCAGGGCCAACGGCACAGGGACGATTCCAGCTGGAAAAGATCGCTCCGCACCAGGCATCCATACGTTTGCTGGCCCTGGAACGGGATTATTTCGGCAAGGGACACATCTGCTCGGGCGCCTTAGTGGCGCCCTCTGTTGTGCTGACCGTCAGTAGCTGCATCTTCAGGTAAGGATTCCCCAGCTGTTATCCTGCCAGCTCTGATAATCCAACTAATAAATAATGCAACTTGCAGCCAAGTGAAGAAGTCACACTACCATCCATCAGAACTGCGAGTTGTGCTCGGAAGCCCCCAGAGATTTGCGCCCCATGAGCAGGCACTCGTATTCGGGGTGACCCACATCCATCAGCCTCCGAAGGACCTTGCTCTGGCCATTCTTATGCTGGAGAAGGATGTGCCCGATAATCACCAGTATATTCAAGCAATCGGACTACCCCCCTCTCCGGACGCCACTTCCATCCTGGACGACTCGGAGCAGCATAATCTGCTGCAGATTAGCACGTGGGGCTACGATGCCGATATTCGCGAGCTGCACGACCTGGTCACATTGAATGCCACCCACACATCCTGCCACCAGCAGCAGAGCAAATCGCCAAGGATTTGTGTCCAGATGAAGAGCGGTAACCACAATCGTGGCCAGCTTTACATGGATGCCGGTGCAACGCTGACGAAACGGGATCGCTTGTTGGGCCTGAGAAGCATCGACGGAGCCTTCGAGGACGTGGAAAGCCACGTGGAGTGGATACTGACCACGATCGGGGACGGTGGCAATCAAAATAGCTCCATCTGGGGCATCCTGGGTTTCCTGGTGTTCACCGGCTACGTGATCACCATCAGCACAAAGAGCTTTTCAACCTAAGATGCCTTAGGAGGGGGAAAACCTTACGATCTGGAAAGTGGGGTAACTAGCCAAGTAAGATATCCAAGGCTATTCAGTAATGCAATGCCGAGGAGTGTGATAATCTCGATCCGATCCAATGAGCGGAACAATCTTTTTAGCCAGATTGGCACCTTACTTTTTGTTCACATCAACTGTGCTGTAGAAATCTGTTGGTAGGACATAGGTTCAAAGATATCACGTTCCCAAAGTAATAATTCGATTTTAATTCAACAAAAATAAACAATTTATTCATATACATAGGATTAACATAATTATGTACAGTACAAATACACATAGATTACAATATGATACAGATCTCAACCCAGTAGGGCTTTCACTAGACCACATTCCCGATTCTTTCCGCAGAGCAGCAGAATTGGTGTCTCGGCGGACTCCAGTGTTTGGCCAGATTTCACCAATGGCCACGCCCACTGGTCCTGTTTCTTAATGCCAAACGTGCGTTGTTGCCAACCGCCCACTTGATTATAGTTGAATAGATAAAAGTGCTCCTCCTCCGGCTGCGTGACCACCAATAGGTAGTGCTCATCTCCAACTTTGAATGGAGTTAGTTGTTGGATGCGCTCCTGGAAGCTCAACTGCTGGATGGGCTCAAAGTGAGTTTCCTCGGAGTTATAGCTCCGATCAAAGATGGCTATATGGCGACAGCCCAGGCAGCTGGCTAGTAGCTGGTTGCCCTGCATCTCTGCCAGATCATAGGAGCCCTGGATCAACTGAAGCACTTTGAAGTTATGAGTTAGGGGATCCCTACCATGGATGGCCAGGACGGGACGATGGTTGCTCATGCCACTGGTGAGTACTAGATTCTGTCGGCTCTCCACTCCCATTCGAATCAACTTCATTAGACGGCCATCTGCTGGTAGCACGGATTGCCAGTCGGTCAGACTGCAGTTGCTCCTCTGAAGTCGCAGGACACGCACCTCCTCCTCGGTGCCCAGGAGCAGCAGCACCATCTCGTCCATTTCCAGCAGTTCCAAGGCTTCCACTGATTGACGCATTCCCAGCGTGTGCGTTTCATTTCGGCAACTAATTGTGATCCTGCTGCGCAATCTTCTGGCTGGGCGATGACAGTGATTCTGCACCTTCACACGGATATCTCCGGAGTGCAGTCTCATCAGTTGATTGGACACACTCGAGTTGGCCAGGAGGACGCGACGTTCAGGGATCTGGAGCTGGGCTTGTAAGGTCCTACGCTGGCAGGTAGCAGAATCACCCAAGGCCAGGCTCACCTGGAGTTCCGTAGATCCCCTCAAAGGGCCTTTTACCCAAGTAGACTCCAGCGTTTCTGGGTCGTGATCCAGATAAAGTAGTCTCCTAGAGGTGCTTTGATTGCCCACTGCTAGTAGTTCTTGGAGCTCCTCTAACGGATTGCTTGGCACTTCCATCGCTCGCATTCGATTGGGAATTTGACTTTGAAGTCCTGCCAGAACTAATCCTCCTGGGAAGAGAGCTTTGTCCAGAACTAGACTATCGATATTGTAGTCCCTGTTCCGAAAGATGCTGCCCCTGAAACTTTCGCTAAGCTCGCGTCCATTGACATTCATCACATGACCGGGTCCAGTGAAGTCCACTCCTCCATGAAAAGTCTTGGCACCCATGATGCTCTGCGTCCGATTGCTATGCCGAAACACCAAGTTATCCAATTGGATGCCATTGATAGAACGTAGAAGGGGCTTTCCACCCAGTTGGAGGTGTTCAAAAGTCAGTGATCCGAATACCTCCAGTGCGTCTCCCTTCAGTGGAATGCGATGCTGCAGGAAGTAGTCCAGATTCATGTTGTTTACGGTCTTCAGGTTCAGGTCCTGTTCGACTAGGAGGTTCTTGAACGTTACAGGTGGCCAGGATTGCCCCTTGCCCTGCTGGTATATGCTCTCTATCGGAGCTCCATTCACTTCTGGTTGCTCCAGTTGTAGTTTGCCTATCTTGGGAGCCTGGAGAAAGTGAAGATGCGCTGCAATGGCTTCTCCACTGGAGAGGCGGTACAGTGAGGCATTGAATCGTCGTATATCGATTCCATTTACCAGCCCAAAGTGTGCATCTTGTTCCAAATGTATGGTATGGGCTCTAACGGATCCCATTAGCTCTTGCGGAGCTGTGATCACCTGGGTTTCGTTTGTGGGGCTCCGACGGAGTAGGGCATCTGCGGCCAAGTGGGTGAAGTTAAGATCAACTGGCAGGGACTGCTTGCTTTGGATGTTAATTAGGCGGGGTTCCTTCAGGAGAACGTGTCCCGCAATGGTTTGGTTTCCCTCTCTCCTGACTGCACGCTGGCGTAGGTAGTCTAGCTGGGATTGTGACTGCTCCTCACCATCCCATAGAGCATCGCCGGTGACTATCAAATTCCGCCAGGGAAGTTGCTGCACTTGCTCCACACGTTGCTTGAGATCCTTGAAAACTGCCTCATTGACGAAGGGACACTTTAGGCTGCCATTGATGTTAAGTTGCTTCAGGTAGAGATCTCCTTTGAGTTCCAAATCCTTGCGTGTGTCTATAAATTCCTCCTTGGGCACCCCATTTACTCGATTTACATCCACATTGGTGGCCATCATCCGATCGAAAGTGTAGGCACCACTGATTTGCTGAGGTGTCATGCGCAGTAAGGTGTTGTCGAGCAGGGAACTCAGATCCATATTATTGATGTGGGGAGTTCGCAGGGCATCATTTATTTGGACATCGGCCATGAATGTCTTTTTACCCCGTATTTCCGCATTTGAATCGGATCTCACCAAGCGACCCAGGTACTCGTCCCATTGGATTCCATTAATACTCTGCACCTGGAGAGCCTTCGCAAACCGTACATTTCCTTCAATCAGTAGCTGCTTGTGAAGAAGTAGGGGCTGTTCACCGTCCTCCGAAATCTTGGACAGCAGTTCATCGAAGGGCAATCCATTGAGTCGCCGAAAATGAAGATTCTCCAGATGTGGGGTTTCCGTCAGTTCAAGGCGCTGCAGACTGATATCGTGACCAAGCAGCTGTTGCAATGGCAATCCATTAAGCTGACTCATATTCAAGTGATCATGGACCTGGATATCATTCGCCACCACCACGCGGGCAAAGGTCTTCGTACCCTTAAAATTTTGGGTGGTGTTCGATTTCAGCACTAGTTCACTAACTGGTACTCCGTTTATTTCCTTGGTTTGAAGTGCTTGAACAGTTAGAGGTGCCTGAAAGTGTTTGTGTCCCGTGATATTGACCGTCTCTCCTTGAAGCACTGCATCCTTGGCGATCTTCGCCAAACGGGAGCTGTAATCCCTGCAAGTAACATCGCCCTGTATGGTTGCATTCATAAAGATTATGTGTAGAGTGCGATTTGGATGATTGTGTTTGTTCTGCTGTCCGCCGCTTAGGAGATGATCCCTCACAGGATGTCCATCAACATAACTGGTGCTCAGTGAGGGAACACTAACTCTGGTATGTCCAAAGGTCAAGTTGGAGATATTCTGCGGAAAAACTAGTGTTATTAAAGTAAATCAGAAGTAGTTGAATCTCTACCTGTGGCGTCTGATCAAGAAGGTACGTAGATTGTATATCTTTTCTGGCGAGAGATTGGTTTCCCAGGACTATAAGGGAGCTTGCCGTGTCCCGCTGGACATTTCTGACCGTCAGGGAACCACGGATGGTGACCCTGCCCGTGTAATACTGTTGAAGACGTTGTTCCATCGGTTCTTCGAGTTCTCTGGGTTGTGGCTGCCACTTGCTCGTATTGCCCACCTGAATATCACCCGAAACACTCATCTGATTGATGCGCACGGGTGCTGGAAAATAATGATTTGTTAGATTAATCTTTATGGAAAATATTAAGGAAGACACTTACTTCTTATCCACGGATCAGTGCTACCGCGATGTAGTACATCCTGGGCAAAGTCCAGGCCATTCACTCGCTGAGCCTCCAAACGCGGAGCAAAAAATGCGGACATGTAGATATTGGAACTGATCATCTGGGCACGCCGCAGATTAAAGAGACGATCCACCACAAGTCCGTTAAGCAGTGGTGTCTTTAGACTGTTCACCCGGGCTCTCGATTGCATAACCAAACGCCCTTTTATCGAACTGTCACGACTGCGCAGGAAGAGCGAGTTCAAAAAATCCTTCCACTGCACTCCATTTATCTGTTCCACTCGGAGATGACGGACTACACATTCACTGCCATTGGTTTCCGCGGGAAGAATCTGGGCACCACTGGGGTTGCGGAAATCTTGGGGAGTAACCAGTTGCTGTGCTTCAAGTTTTTTGGTCTGCAAAGGACTGTTCCTGATGGTCAGCATAGGTGGTTTTGAGTTATCAAGAATGTGGCCTGTAAAATAGGAAGTATAAAGGGTTTAATATCATATCTTGTTCCTGTATTCCCATACTTGCCTGAAATTAGCTGACCCTTGTAGATAAGATTGCCCACACGCAATCGTCGCGCCTTAAGTGTCTCCAGCTCACCGTTCTCGTTTCCTGTCCCAAAAGAGCGAGTGAATCGCCTGGTTTGGATGGCTTCAAATCGCTGACGCAGCTCCTCCAGACGCTGCTTTAGTTGGGTGGGAGTACGCAGGTGTTCGTCCACCAGCTGAAGCCTTTCTATGCGTCCTTGCTGCAGAAGATGCAGTGGTTTATCCAGGTGGATAGCCGATTTCTGTTTTAAGAAGTCGACCAGATTTCTCAGGCTTTCTGTAGAGGAACGACGGCGCAGCAGGAGGCCACGTAAGGCATTGATGGACTCTTCGAACTCGTGGCGATGCAACTGGACCACACTTAGGTCTGTAAAAACGCTAGTTAATACCTGCTCAACAGAGTTTCATTTAATGTACCTTCATCTGGAGCAGCACCCACTTGGTTGGAGGTTTCTTCCACGCCACCCAGTTGCACAGTTCGGATCAGATCATTCGAGGGTCTTTGATAGGCCAGCAGAAGGAAGGTCTCATTGCGCAAGTTTTTATGAGTAAGTAATCCACTTGGTTCCGCTTCTCCAGCTAATTGAAATCCACTATAGCAATCCAGACGAGTGGAGCTGAAGACGATCACCTCGCCATTGGCACGGGCACCGACCAGAAGGTTACCCTTTTTGGTGGCACTCAATCGACGGAAACTCAAATCCTTTCGGGCATGCTTGCGGTACACCACAAATTGTCCATCCACCATTCGAAAGAAAATACAGGAAGCAGATGCGGTGGAACTACAGACGATGAGGCAGTTCCTTCCATGAAATCTGGCAGCTTGGACACTTTGCGCTTGGACTGTCAAAGCCTGTCGGTGTTGCAGGATACGGCTGTTTCTATCCAGCTCATAGACAGTGAGTACCAGCTAAAGGGGAAACAAAA